TAACCATAAGCCTTTCTAAACCAGTGATTAGAAGGAGTGGGAAACAGGACGCTTGGGCTTTGGCATCAGCAGTTTCTGATTGTAATGAGGAAGGGGTGATATCAGTGGAGGGGACTCTGGCAGAAATAGCTTGCTCAGGCAGGGAATGCATCTGAAACTGGGGATACAGTGGTTGTATAATTTCTAAGTCTGCAATGGATGGTAAATGAATGTACCTAAAAAATACTCCAACTTGACGTGTTTTTTTTTTGAAAGACTTATCACAGTAAATACAGCTCTTTAGCCAAACAAGCGGTTTATTAAAGTGGTTCAGTTACCATGGCAACGTATCTGGAATTTATAGCTCTTTAGTTTGAGAGTACTTCATTTCACTCTCTGAGGCACTGAAATCCAAGGCTAAAGTTCTTAATGGCCTCCATTAAGTCTCATTGTATGATGAATTTCTATTGTTTGGAAAATGTATACACACAAAATGTAGCATGCAAAATCAGTCCTATGAGTTTATAGTTGTGTGCATTAATTTTAAATAGGTACTTTCCAATTTGGAAATGTCCCTGTTAAAATTTTTTTTTATTATTGCCAAAGCTACATACGATCCTAGTTTAATGAAGAAAAACAGCTATTTCAAAAAATATGTCTTCTGAACTTATTCCCCAGAGGCAACCACTTTCTGTTCTTTTAGCTGTTTTTTGGTTTTCTTTTAATATTTACTTCAAATCCCTCAGCAACATGTTTATATTGCTTCTTGGTTTGTATTACTGCTTGCTTTGTGTCTTTAGCTGTCATCAATTATTTGAGTTTCTGTGTATTTGAAAATAGCTTTATTCTACTTTTATTCCTGATTTTTAATTTGGCTGGGTATAATTCTTAATTATAAATCATTTTCTCAGGGTGCCTGGGTGGTTCAGTCAGTTAAGCATCTAACTTTTTTTTTTTTAATGTTTTATTTATTCTTGAGAAAGAGAGACAGAGTGTGAGCAGGGGAGGGGCAGAGAGGGAAACACAGAATCTGAAGCAGGCTCCAGGCTCTGTCAGCACAGAGCCCGACACAGGGCTCAAACCCACAAACTGTGAGATCATGACCTGATCCGAAGTCGGACGCTTAACTGACTGAGCC